AAACGCGGCATCCATCTTGCACAGAGCTTTTCCATATGCAAATGTTGGTGCAAAATATTTTGCACACGTTCATATGACATCTTACAGGTCTCAGCTATCTCACGCACTTTTAATCTGCGGTCTTCCAGTACTATTTGATTGATTTTTTCGATCATATCTGGAGTTGTGACCTCAACAGGGCGTCCTGAGCGAGGTTCATCAGAGATGCTCACACGACTCTTTTTAAACTCGGAAACCCACTGCTTAATGGTTGAATATGATGAGGAGGATGTCCCCAGTGTTGAGTTCATCTTTTCTTTGATTTCCTTCGGCTTTAACCCCTTCAAATAGAAGTATTTGATGACAGCATGATTTTCCAGCTTTTCCATTTTTAAGAAAAACACATAGGCGTCTTATTCAGTGTGCTCTCAAACCTAAATTAAGGCTGGGCTGAAGTCTCCGTGCCCTAGATGACAATCTAAATTTCTCTTTGCCACTCTATGTTCAGTGTCGTCTCGGTTCCTAACTGCTTTCCACCGAGCGATTTACGAAATCTACAGCTTTCTATTTTAGCGCGCGCGTTCTCGATCATCAGGGTCAATACTCTGCCGATTGAATGCTCAAACTCTCTCCTCACCGCTTCCATGCCGGTTCGAGCAACGCCGGAGGCTTCGTTCTCGCGAGCGACTCGCCACGGGTCGCTCGTGCTCGTTCCCTCTTCTTACGTGATGCATGTATTCTCCTCTCTCCTTTCGTCGCTTCCGCTCTCGCTTCCAATTAGCTCTCACTAACGGTGCCGGCCACAGGTATTGATTCTGAAATAAAGCATTACGAGCATCGGTAATGGTTCTTGGCTTCCATCCCGTTCGCCATGACAATAGCAGGAACGAGTCGCGGGAGTGAAAGTGAGCCAGAAATGGCCGGCCATCTCGGTCAGGGCCCGTCACAAAGGATAAATCTATAAAGAAGAAAAATTTAAAAAGTAAGATGTGCAAATTGCCAAGGTAACGTTACTGCAAGCTATAAAGGATGTCCAATTCGAAATAAATACATAGGTCGAGCCAAATGAACACTCCTGTGACAACAACAATAACACAAATAAAGTTGAACATATGATGGAGCAGCTGATACAAAGAATAGACACTATGCTTAATCTTCTAACTATATTAGTAAACAAAATAGCAAAATGAGCAGCTTAAACTCGCTATCTAGAACGCAAATGGACTTATGCAAAAATCACCTGAAATTAAAAATATTCTTAATCTATGAAAATGTAAACATCATGTTGATATCAGAAACATTCTTTATAAGTAAGAACTATCTCAGTATACCAAACTACACTGTACATAATATGAATCATCCCCTCAATAAATCACATGAAAGTACTACAATTATAATTAAAACAAAATTAAACCACTACATTCACACACACATTAGCGAAATCTACCTCCAACCAACCAATGTAATCATCAAGGATAATGACGGTCCGATAACAATAACAGCTGTTTACTATTCACCAAACAAAATAAAACAAAACAAAATTGGACAGATTTTTTCCATACACTAGGAAATCGCTTTACAGCAAGAGTCGTCAAACATCTGTGGTGGGGTTCATGATCTCCAACTCCAATATACAGAGGCAAAGTACTATATGAAATATTACCAATAGATAACTACATTCCAATGTCCACTGGAAAAGTGGCGTTTTAATTTTCAACAGAGTTTCCTTTTAGTTCGATACACTTGGCCCAGCGATGCTCCAACTTCTTTAACCCGTCTGAAAAATACGTTTCCTCGAGGTCTGAAAAGAAGGCTTCCGTGGGAGCGATTACCTCCTCATTCGACTCAAATTTCTGCCCGGCGAGTGACTTTTTCAAGTTTGGAAACAAAAAGAAGTCGCACGGGGCTTTAGCCAGATTTATGGAGAATACAGTGGATGGGACAGCAGGTCGTAGCCTAATTCGAGCAATTTGGCCATGGCGACGGCACAGGTGTGAGCCGGTGCGTTGTCATGGTGGAAGAGCACTTTTTTCTTCGTCAAATGGGGCCATTTTTTCTGCAATTCGACGTCGAATCGGTCCAATTATTCGGTATAGTACAGCCCTGTGACCGTTTTGCCCCTCTCTAGGTAGTCGATGTAGATCACACCTTGTGAATCCCAGAAAACGGTGGCCATCACCTTTCCGGTCGATGGGGCAGTCTTCGCCTTCTTCGGAAAACTTTCGCCGGGTAAAGTCCACTGTTTCGATTGTTCCTTGGTCTCTGGTGTATACCAGTGGATCCATGTTTTGTCGACTGTCACGAAACGACGCAGAAACTCCTTCGGATTGCGCTTAAATAGCGTCAGACATTGCTCTGAAGTTGTCTCACGGTTGCGCTTGTTGTCCGGAGTGAGCAAACACGGCACCCATCGCGCCGACAGCTTTCTCATGCCCAAAATTTCATGCAGGATATGACCCACGCGGTCTTTTGAGATGCCTACGATCTTAGCTATCTCGCGCACCTTCAATCGTCGATCTGCCAATACGAGATCGTGAATTTTTGTCACGTTATCTTCCGTGGTAGCCGTTTTCGGAGCACATGGACGTGGCTCTTCAAAAATCGACATGCGACTACATTGAAACTCGTTAAACCAATTTTTGACGGCCGCCATCGAAGGAGAAGAGTCACCGTACACAGCATCCAAACGCTTTTTGATTTCGCTGCGCGATTTCCCTTCCAAAAACAAGAATCGAATCACCGACCGATACTGCTCTTTTTCCATTTTTCAAAAATCAACGGACACACTTACTTTCACACGCTCTCAAAAATAAACTACAACTCCGATCCGGCTGAAATCTTGACAGTAACCATCAAGAAGGTTATACTACGTGATAGAATAGTTCTTTTGCGAGAGTGGCGCCATCGGGCGGTGAGGCTAAGTACTTATCGGACCACCCTCGTATAATTATCGATTGCTTGTACAATAAAGCTTTTTTTTTTTTGGAATTTCAATTTTTTGCAACAATTTGTAGATTATTGGTAAATTATATATATGTTTGATCGTACTTGTCTATTTATTCAGTATTATTGCTAAGGTACAGATTTTTGGTATTTTTTAACGCGAGTTCTACGCATTCGATAAAGAGGCTGTCTTATGATGCAACGACATCCCGGCCCCCGCTATTAGAGTCGAAAGCATACGCGTCGAGGGAGGAAATAGTAGCTTCTCGATGCGTTCGGTTTGCCGTTTTTTTTTCGTTAGCTTGATATATAGCGTTATTGATGTAGGCATTTACCTCGGTATGTTTGCAAGCTGTTGATATTTTCTCTAGTATGTCGGTGAAGTTGTCTTGGGAGGTGAGGATGTGTTCCAGCTCAATTGCGGTGATAATATTCCATTTGTCCACTATAAACTTTATTTCTATGGCTTTTTCGAAGGCGATTCCCGGCTGTGTATTATGCGACTCGAATGAAGAATCAACATACTCGTCAACAGATATAAGTAAGCTTCCGAATTTTATTGACTTTGTAATAGTAAAAGGAATAAACGTTTCTTTTAACTTAGCCAACAACATAGAAAGCAGTATCGATAATCTCAACTTGCTTCTAACTAAAACTATTGACTAAAGTTCTACTAATATAAATAGTAATAAAATACAGCAAATCATTTCCAATTTAGTAACCCAAAAATCCAAGAAAAGAAATTACTAAGAAAAAGGTACCAGATAACTATACAGGGTGATTCGACGCTCAGCCGAACTCTTTGACTACAAAGACACGCAGAAAAACTACTACAAACATGCACACAGAAAATACAAATATTGTTAATCCTCAAGTTTCCTTCTCCAGCATTGTACAACATGAAAAAATACCAACAAGGGAGCAAGCCATAGTCATAGACTCCATAGACAATTGTACGCTAGAAGAATATGCAGTAGCACTAGCAAAAATCATACCACCAAAAGAAATACAGTATGTATCGCGCATTAGTCAAGGAAGAATATGTTTCTATTTAAGCACCCAAGAGTCAGCAGATAAACTCACTGACGAAAACAGCACAAAAGTACTCACCGTAGGAAACCACAAACTACCTATTCGCCCTCTCATCTCAAAAGCAAGGAGAATAATAATCTCAAACGTGCAACCATGCATACCAACCACAATAATAACGAACGAATTAAAGTCAAAAGGTATTATTCCAGTCTCACCGATAACAACAATCAAAGCCGGAATCCACCGACCAGAATTATCTCACTTATTAAGCTTTCGGAAGCAAATGTACGTGAAACCCGACGACATTGAAAAAGTGCCTAGTACCTTGAAAATCTCCTATGAAAAAGTGAGCTACTGGATTTACCTTTCCTCCGAGAAACTGACGTGCTACATTTGTAAAGAAGAAGGACACATTGCTAAACACTGCAAAAATGCCGATACAAATGCCACAAAAGAAAACCAAAACGAAGATACAACGGTCGAAACAGAAGCACTGACTGGGCAAAACGAGCAACCTGAAGAAACCAATTTCAAAAAACCAACTCCCATGGAACTTCAATTAAACCTGAAAAGACCAATATCCAGCTCAACGTCATCTGCGTCGCAAGAGACGCAGGCGTCAATGCAAGAGAAAAAACAGTCAATAAACACAAAAGGTACGCAAAAAAAAAAAACTAAAAACAGAAAGGAAAACAAATTTTACCGAGCATCTGATACCAGCGCGTGATCTTGTAAACTCTGCGAAAAACTTTCCTATAAATTACGAAAGCCTTATAAAATTCTTAGAAAACACGCTCGAGAATTCGAACGTTGTCGAATTAGCTAGTACGTATACAAACGACTTAGAAGCTCTATCAAACATGCTTACCGAAATTTACAAATATGTAATACCTCGAGGTACCAAATCAAAAATAACAAAAGTAAGAAACGCTCTGAAAGCCTCGCTCAATCGCCATAGCGAAGTAGCGGAAGATAACATAGACGATGAAAATACCGATACCGATACCGATCAAAGCACGATTTAATAAAATACACATATAATTAAAATGGCAAGTAACAAAATTTATAAAACTTCTGATTTAAAAATATTATTCTGGAACGCTCGTAGCATAAACAAACGTAAGGAAGAATTACCCTCGCTACTAAAAGACATAGATATATTCATATGCGTCGAATCATGGCTAAAGGATAAAAATATTGAAAATGAAAAAATAATCGCTCCCGGCTTTGTACAATATAAAAAAAATAGAACACACTCTACAGGCGGAGGTATACTAATAATGGTTAGAAAAAACATAGCCTATCGCGAAATTAAAAAAATCAAATCTCCAGATCAGTCGGTAGAAGTATGTGGTATTATTCTTACAAACACAAAACCTTCACTCGATATAATTGTCAGCTACCGAACTCCGGGAAACGTATTGTCGCAAGAGCACTGGCATAATATCATACAAAATATAAACACAAATCGCCCAAGCATCCTGGTGGGCGACTTTAACGCGCATAACACCATTTGGAATTGCTCCTACACAGATAAGAACGGAGAAAGGCTCTATGAAAGCACAGATGAAGCAAACTTATACTTACATAATCATAACACAATTACTCGATCGGACTTTCATAGAAATTTTCACTCTAACATAGATTTGTTATTCTCAACTCAACATTTAGCAGCCAATATTAACGTAGAAGCTAAAGAGGAAACATTTGGATCGGATCACTACCCGATTCTTTGCTCTATAAATATCGAAAAATGTACATATAAACGAAAATCTTTCAAAATTCATTCAGTTAGAACAAATTGGGAAAGAGTACAACTTCAACTAGAAGTAAAATACCAAGAATTCTTCTCTGCCAAATATGATACCAGCACAGCACGAGAAAAATACGAAACTTTTTTAGAAATTATAACAAAAGCCATAGCCGAAAACACCCCTATAAAGAAAAAAGTTAGCGCTAAAAAACATAACAACCCGGCCTCATGGTGGGACGAAGAATGTAACAAAGCTAAACGGTTACGAAGAGCAGCACTTAAAAAATGGCGATTCACTCAAGACTTAGTAGACCTAATAGCATATAAGAAGGCCGCGGCTATAGCTACGAAACTATTCAAAAAAAAGAAACGTCAAGACTTTAAAAAATTCGCAGCCACTATTAACTTCCGTAAAGACTCCTCTTACGCATGGTATAAAGCCAAAGTCCTTAAAAACAAGTGGATCAAGATAAATTTACCACACCAAACAGAACACCTACAACTTCAGGAAAGTATAAACGACGCGATGAACAAAATTACCCCTCCATGGGTTACCTCTGACCCCCAAGATATACCGTTGTGCGCAGAGAATGAATTTTTTAGCACTCCGTTCGATTTTGTTGAATTCAATATGGCACTCGAATCGACCAATTGTTCATCCGCGCCGGGTATGGATGGTATCGAATATGGTACCATAAAAAACTACCAGTGAAATATAAACTTATATTGTTAGACATCTACAACGAAATGTACAAAACAAATTCTTATCCTAATAGCTGGCGAAAATCATATGCACACTTTATCCCTAAACCGGGAAACAAAGGAGTGCGCACAATAGCTCTTACCTCCTGCTTTTGCAAGCTCCTCGAAACACTTACTAAAAATCGTCTTCAATGGTGGTGCGAACACCATAATATTCTACCAAAATCACAGTCGGGTTTTAGAAAAGGAAAATCTTGTATGGACAATCTGTCAAACTTGAAACTCCACGCAGAACAAGCAATGTCGAGAAAGAAACAGCTACTAGCGGCCTTCTTAGATGTAAGTGGCGCATTCGACAATATAAATAGCGATATCCTACTAAAAAAATTAGCCAAGATAGGTTGCTCAATAAACATAATAAATTTTGTAAAATTTATAACACACTCTCGAATCGTCCATTGTGACGCATTAGGTACTGGATATAGGACTGCAGGCAAAGGCTTACCACAGGGAGGTGTATTAAGTCCGCTCTTGTATATAATATATACAAAAGATATAACGCAAAACCTACCAAAGGGTATAACAAATTCACAATTCGCTGATGACATTGCACTATATTGCACCACAGCAAAAAATTATAGGAAGCGACTAGAAAGAGCAGTCAAAATATTGAAAAATAATCTAGCCGAATTAGGATTAGAATTAGCCCCCCACAAGACGATTTTTATAAATTTTAATAGGAAAAATATAAGACCAGGTCAAACACAAATCGAGATTGATGAACACACTATAAAATCGAGCCAAACAGTAAAATTTCTAGGAATTTACTTCGATTATAAACTTTCCTTCAATCCGCACGTTGAATACGTCAAAAAGAAATGTGCAAGAGCAAATAATATTATAAAATTTCTCTGTGGTACTTGGTGGGGTTCAAATCCGGAATCCCTCCTCACATTATACAAGAGCTTTGTCCGGTCGATAATAGAATATGGCAGCTTCATATATTTACCTAAACATAAGACTAACATAGACAAAATCGAAAAAATCCAATACTCTGCCATAAGATCAGCTATGGGCTACCGCATATCCACACCCACTAACGTAATAATACACGAATCAAAGCAACAATTTATACAAGAGAGAGCAAAACTACTGTGTAGATACTTCTTAACAAAAACTCTTTCAAATTCAAATTCTAGTCTATACGAAACTGTACACAAAATATACAAAAATTACCAAAAAAAGAAATTTCTCAACGAAAAAAACCCAACAATGTTGCATGAATGCATAGTCGAATTATTCGATGTGGGAAAAATAGTTCCGCAAAATTACAATTTATACTGCCGAAATTACAATGTTACAAGAACTATAATAGATATAAATATAGAATTAGGAGAAAAAATCAAGAAAACAACCGACCCTAATAAACTAATAGATAATTTCGTAAAGTCAGAGCTCTCGCTATTTACACCGACGGCAGCAAGCTATCGAATTCGAAAATCGGCACTGCATGTATATGCCCAGATTTAGACATAAAAATCGCAAGAAACCTCCCAAGTGACGCATCTATTTATACGGCTGAATGTACTGCCCTTCGTGACGCAGTCGAAATCGCAAACACTAGATCCAATGAAAACTTTATCATTTTCTCGGATAGCTTAAGTGGTTTACTGAGTCTCAAGTCTCCTCATACAAACATAAATACAAACGATTATATTTTAGACATTAAAGAAATATACAATAACATTATGACAAACAGCGAAAATTCAGCTATTATGTTCGTTTGGATTCCATCTCACGTAGGAATACGAGGTAACGAAGCAGCCGATAAACTAGCAAAATACGCTGCAGCAAACTTACAACACGAACAAATGAGCCTACCATTCATTGATCTATACAGCAAATATAAAACAGCAACTCGTATTGAAACAAATAAACGTTTAGTACACGAAGGAACAAAAAAAGGGTGTGCCTACTTTAAAAACTACTACAAAGAAAGTAGCAGACCTTGGTTTGCAAAGCAAAACCTCCAAAGAGAGTTTATTGTCACAATAAACCGATGTAGAGCAGATCATTACAATTTGCGTGAATCCCTAAGCAGAATAAAAGTTGTAACAAATCCTTTATGCGATTGTAATGAATTCCCCGAAAACCTTAATCACCTTATATGGCAATGCCACCTGTATAATGACGAAAGAATAAAATTGTATGAAAACCTCAGAAAATTGAATATACAACTACCATCACGAATAGAAGATATAATAGCACAACCAAATATTAAAGCTTGTAAATATGTCTTTATATTTCTCAAAAAATGTAACAAATATGTTTAAAAGCGAGAAAAAAATAAATTGACCTCAAGACACTAATTAGAAAACAAATAAGTACATAAATGTAAAATATATACCATATAGTTCATAAGCTTATGTATATACAAAGACAACAACAAAACCAATGTAATGCAGATGTAAACCTCTTACGAGGTCTAAAATGCTTAATAAAAAAAAAAAAAAAAACTATACAGGGTGTCAATTAAGTCCCGGGACGCCTGAATATTTTCTGAAGTACTTCAGTTCTGAAAAAGGTCAAGGTCATTCCTTCAGTAACTTTCAACGCGGAATCCGATGGTGACCTTGGATTTGACCTTGAGATTGACCTTCAAGGTTATTTCAAGGTCAACTTTGTTTTTTCAAATAGGAACCCCCATTTTTGACCCCGGATTCGGAAAGAGCGGGAAATTTTACGTCCAAAACGGTATTTTTAAATTTTTTTTCATGGCCTTGAGAAGGTCGATTTAAGGTCAAATGTTTGAAAAACTGCCTAAAAGCGTTTTTTTAATTTTTAAGATATCGAAAAATGACCTCTACAAAATTTGTTCAGAACAGAGTGGGCCACCCAATGCACCAAAAACCTTTGACCTTTAACCTCATTTTGAAGGTCATTTCAAGGTCGAAGTGTTTTTTGTAATGGAAACCCCTCTTTTTGACCCCGGATTCGCACATAGCGCGAAACTCAACACAATACCTTATCCAAACGTCGGATTTCGCGCTATGTGCGTATCCGGGGTCAAAAAGAGGGGTTTCCATTACAAAAAACACTTGAAATGACCTTCAAAATGAGGTTAAAGGTCAAAGGTTTTTGGTGCATTGGGTGGCCCACTCTGTTCTGAACAAATTTTGTAGAGGTCATTTTTCGATATCTTGAAAATTAAAAAAACGCTTTTAGGCAGTTTTTCAAGCATTTGACCTTAAATCGACCTTCTCAAGGCCATGAAAAAAAATTTTAAAATACCGTTTTGGACGTAAAATTTTCCGCTCTTTTGATTGCCGTTGTCAAAAATAGGGGTTCCCATTTAAAAAAACAAAGTTGACCTTGAAATAACCTTGAAGGTCAATCTTAAGGTCAAATCCAAGGTCACCATCGGATTCCGCGTTGAAAGTTACTGAAGGAATGACCTTGACCTTTTTCAGAACTGAAGTACTTCAGAAAATATTCAGGCGTCCCGGGACTTAATTGACACCCTGTATATGTCAAGATAATACAAACGTAAACAAACCATGCAATGAACTGAAGAAAATATTACATGAAAAAAAACATCCAAATACAGAAGTATCTTAAAACTCTGAGTCCAACAGAAACAATAGATTATTCACTATGGAAAGCTACCAAACGACTCAAAAGACCAGTTACATTTATCCCACCTGTCCGAAGGCCTGCAGGAAAATGGGCCAAATCTGACGAGAAAAAAGCTGAAACGTTGTCAGATTATCTCTGTACAGTATTCATACCTCACCAAAGATTAATAACCGAACAAAAATAAGAAACTTTACTGGAAACTTCTGAGGTCCAAGATAGTACACCTATCAAATTGATTAAAATAAAGAAAGTATTACAAATAATTGATAATATTATAAAATTATTTTATTTGATATAAATATATATAAAAGAGAAAATGATATAAAAGATAAATTAGTTAACTTAAAATAGTTAAGTCGGTAGAGCAAGACTCGGGCAATCAGATTGAACCAAATAACAAGAAATGAAGTTTATTAGAATTTAAATCAGAACTTATAAAACTATTTATTTAGTTAAATCAATAAATGAAACATGCTTACACTCTCCCGGTGAGACCTGAGATGTATAGATTAAAATCAAAACATTTCCATATTTAACATTCAAACTACGGTTCGTCAACTCGGATACATAATAAAAGATTAGCTCACACTAAGATGCTCGTGGTTCTTCGCTCGCAATGCTCGGTTCTTCTATGCCACACATCTGTCGATGAATATTGAATATTTATAGCTGCCAAGTAATCTCAAAACTGAGAAGAAAAGCGAAACTTGGCTTGCCTCGTCACAATTCCCAATATAGGAGGTAATCACTAAACTGCACTAGTATATCTTGCAACACAAGCAGTGAAATTATCTTGATCCCAGAGCGGATTCTGTCGCAGAAGATAGCCGTTGGAATGTCGTCAAATAGTTGTAAGTCAGAAGGTCCCGCCTTCTGTGGTGTTTCTCGCTGAGTGGCAACCGAGCAAAGGAGAGCGAGCAGCGTTAGAGAGGGGCTTATATAATAGAGCCCGTACATGAAACGACTCCCCACTTACTTACTTACACAAAATTTGAGTAATTCAAATTGATGCGTTACATATGCTCCGTAGATTTAGAACGAATCGCAGGAACAAAATGCTCCGTATTTCAGTGGATGCATTAGAGCTAAATCTTATAATTACTTTAATACACCTCAAATTTCACACCACATAGTTAACCTTTATTTATACTATTCTAAGTCGACTTAAAAAATAACTCCGGAGTAATTAGCGCAAGTTAATTTTACATAATATAATAAATATTCTCGCAATTACATAGGTGTACACGTGATATCGCTTAAAGTAATACATATTTAATCATATTATTCTTCTTTTGTCCCTTTATAGGTTTTCGAATATAATTCTCTTTTTCACAAATTCATCATATCTCGATCATGATAATACATTTCAATCTA